GTGTTATGCCATACTAATATTCCTTGTCAAGTAGCTCTATAAGTTGACTTGGGAATGAAAGGAAAGGAAAGGAAAGGAAAGGAAAGGAAAGGAAAGGAAAGGAAAGGAAAGGAAAATGTTACATAGCAAATGCAGAAAGGCACATATAACTTACTTCTGGAAGAGCTGGGAAATGTTTCACCTTGAATGCTTGTCATTTGGAAAACCATCACTTTTTAGGAAATTAAAGTAAAAATCATAACTTGGGCTGGGGGAATTTTTTTCCCCTAAACAAATGGGCTATCACATTAGACATTATTGCCTTGGAGCAGTTGAAATAAACCCTGAGGAACCCCTACCTCATGTATGGGATGCAACAAATGAATGTGTATTCCCACGATACAGGTCCTCTTGGGCATTGCTTCAGCAATAAAAAAGAATATAAATTTAATGATTTTATTATTCTGTTAATGAGCATCTTCAATCCAGAGCAAACAATGAGGAAGCTGCAAGTCAAGAAACTGCTTCAGTGCCAGAAATGTAGAAACTCCTGCTCCTGCTAAGTGTTGCTCAGATCCACAATAGATATTGATTAGAAAGAAAATCATAACCACCTTCTGCAGAAACTGTGGAGAAGCCATGTGAAGCACACAAACCACGACATTTAAGAGTTAGCATTCCACACAGAAGCAGTGCCAAATTGCACCTGAAACAGCAGGGTTAATAAGGAGGTACTGTACCATTCCAAACTACAAATGTTCATCTGAATGACTGTTAATTGCAATAAGCAAATTCACACAAGAAACAATGGTTTGCTGCCCTCTTTCTCTCTCCTTCTCTCAGGTTTGCTTCCAGAATTAAAAATAACCTGTTGATGCCACCTCTGGGAAGAAGGACTGGGACTGATCCCCCCTCTACCAACACATAATGGCCATTTTGTTTAGGAGATCTCAGAGCAATAACTTTTCTGCATCCCCACTCATCAAGAGTCACCAAACCCTTTTTGGTAAGAGGTAATAAAATTAAGAGCTGCAGTAAAAAAAAGGCTAAACCTCTCAAGCACAACATCAGAGAAGACTATAACCAGTAGCCATGCAACATGATATTTACCAAAGAGATCTCCCAGAAGATTCTGAGAAGGTGGCAAGGGGAACACAGGGCACTTCTTTGCCAGGCTCACCTGAGGGAAAAGGTTTTGTGGTGACACAAATCTGGCAATCACAGCATGCCTGTGAGCAAGATCCACCACAAACCACCTGATGACTTAATGTCACCAGCCCTTTCTACATCCTGTCTCTGACTAATTTCCAGTGCCTCAGAGGCAGTTGAAAAAAACCTCACAAGCCAAATGTAGATGGGGCAGAGGACCAGAAGTAGGCCTGGAACTCAGGAATGATTACAGCACAATGTCAAAGATCAGCAGCTCAGCTGCCTTCACATCCCCTTTGGACACAACAAAGCATCATGCCCTGATTTAAACCATGTAGGTGTTTGTTCCTGGAGTACTGTTTGTTTGCTCTTGGAATGGTTAGAAAGCTTTTCAATCTAAGTATACTCATGACCAATTTATTACCATGCATCACCATTTTAACATTCATTTAAATGATACTCTTTCCTTGATATTTCCTGCCTGAATCACACTATTTTGGCTTAATTTGGCTAGCTGAGGAAGCTAAGTCTGCTTGCTTGCAGCTCCCATTCAAGAACAGATACTCTGCTCCTTGCCACTCCAGTATTCCTCTTCTGCACCTGTGGCAACCTGAGTCAATCTTTTCTGACCCTAAGTCACCAGAACTGGATGCAATTTTCCAAGCAAGGTTCCTCAGCTCTGCTGTGTAAAGCCTTATTAATACTTCCCTCTCTCTACTAAAAATACCATGCTTTGTGCATCATGGATTCAAGTGAGTCTTTTCCATACCATTCTGCTGGCAGCTCACAGTTGTTTTCTCATGGAGGAACTCACCCTCATAGTAAGGTCAGAGCAGCAGACCCAAGGCTACCAGCATCACCACCCTCCTTCTTTCACTATCCTGTTTTAGGCACAGGGTATTGCTTCTAGCCTTTTTAACCTTGAATGAATCCTTGCTTTGGCAATTGTTATTTGCTGCTTCTCCCAATATCTCTAAGTAAAAATCATCATTGGGTTCATCCATCATGTCAGCCTCAGGAACTTTCCCCATTCCTTTAAGTTTGCTGTTCTGCAATCCCAAGTCTTAGCCAAATATCTGCATTTGTCCCTCTTGTAGTTTAACTTCAGCTGGATTAGTTTGTGATCACTCAGTCCATGATCAGTTTCAACACTCTGGCCTTCTACAAGGTCCTTGCTGCTTATTAATACCAGTCCTAAAATAGCATCCTCCCTCATGGACTGTTTGCCTGAGAAATCGAGTTTCTACAACACTCCAGAACATTTAAGCCCTACCAGTTCCCAGTGGTACCTTCCAGTCTGTAGCTGAGAAATTAGTTTCCCATAATCACATGCCATTTGCTCTTCTATGCCTTCCAAATAGTTTGTGGAGATAAGTATCCCTGTCCAAGTTTGTAAGGGATTATCACTCTTCTCTCAGTGGATTTTTTTAATTCTTTCCTCTCAGGTGATTTTCCAATGTAATGCACTACTATTTTACTTCTTCAAAGAATTTACTAAAATACAGAGCTACTCCATGGTCTTTACTATAATTTCTGCTGTTTTAAGTAGCTACCCCTCCAACAACTATATTCTAAATAATACTGCCAAGCAGAAGTGTTCAGCATATCACAGCAGCCTTGAGACAGCACTTTAAGCCCCAGAGAAAACATTGGTTATAACACAGAATTCCAAACCAATTAAAGACTAAACACTGGTGACATATCTTGCTGTAATAATTGTATTAGAAATCTCTAAAATTTTGGAGTCATGATATGGAAAAAGAAAAAAAAAACCACCAAAGCAATTGAAATGCTAGGTATTTCATCAAATCATCACTTTATCCCTTCATCAACAGGCATTTCTTTTAATGGGGAAAGACTTCTGACATCTTTAAATGGTATAAGATTTTGTTTTCTCTCTTTGGGGAAGAATACATCAGCATAGCTGCTAGAGCTACAGGCACTGGAATCCTATTATGTTTTCTCCATTTTTTCTTTTTTTTTTAGGGCAAAACGAGAGGACACATATACAACAGCAAAAAGAGTGGCAAAGGAGGAAATTGCAGGTTTGTCTCTGATAGAAACTTATTTGCAGCCCTGCTTCTGGAGAAATCCTGGCTTGGTGCACAATCCTTTCTGCTGGTCCTGAGCCAAGCAGTCTTGAACAAGTGATGGGAACATGTAAGACATCCGTCTGAGACTGTCTTTCTGATGGCAGGTTCACGGCATCGTTTCAAAAGCCGCAGTTGTCTTGACAGCTAAGCCAGCCTTTGACTGGGGACAGCAGCAAAGGCGGGAGAGAGGGGGAAAGAGAGAAAGCAGAGAAGTGGGATGAGGAGAAAAACAGCGCACAGGAGGGAATTAGCAGTGCGGCCAGGCTTCGTGATTTAGCGGCTGGTGAGGACAGTGCCGGAGATGTTGAGGTTTGCAGGGCAGCGTGGCGTGGGCGGCGCGGAGAGCCGGGGGAGATGAAGAGCGAGGAGGGTCAGGATGGATTTCGGGACGCGCGGAGATGCTGCAAGCGGCAACTATGACGCAAAGCTGGTCCGTTCAGGATCACGCATCCAACTGTTCCTCCCTAGTGATCCCTCGATAAACAACGTCCAAAAAGGACGGTGACCTCATCCCACTGAAATTAGCCAAACACCACACATTTCTCCGTGTTCAGCTCTGCACATTCCTTGGAGCTGCGGCTCTCCCGCCTGCCAGCCCCATCGCTGCACTCAGGGCTCCGAAGGCCCCCGTGGGGCAACTCCTCCAGCCCACCACGGACCAAGGGTCCGGCTAAACCCCCATTCCCAGCTCCGGCCGGGCATTCCCGGCTCCGGCCGAGCCCCCGCGCCGCTTCTGCGCCAGAGCCGCCTCTCCCCCTCCCTCCTTTCCCTCCCTCCCTCCCTCCCTGCCCGCAGCCCGGTGAGGCGGCGGGAACACGACGAACCACGACAGCCAACGGTGCCCCGCGTGAAAGCGTGACCGCCGGTACTGGCGGAACACATGCCCCGGTCGGGACACGCTGCGGAGCTAGCGGAGCACGACGCAGGCATTTATTTCACCTGGCGGCCGGGAGCGACAGGTTCTATGGGCTGCCAGCGCCGCCCCTTTCCCCGGCCGCCTGCGGAGGGGACGCGATTCCTTCTCGCAGCCCCGGGGCGCCGGGCAGGGAACAGCCCACACCCCCTGCCCGCCGCCGGGACGCGGGGCTGGCACCCACGGCCGGCGCTGCCGGGGCGCCCCGACCGGCCCGTCCCGGGGGCTCGCTGCTCTCTCCTGATCTCTTCCAGACCCTTCTCCCGCTCCCAACTGCTGTTTTCGCTCCCTCCCATTCCTCCCAGTGGCATTTTCTTTGTTTGATGAACGCTGTTGTGTTCGAGGCGCCTCTTTGAGCGGGGCTGCTGCACCTCCCTCGGGATAGGCAGGGGAAGCGAGCGGCTCTCCCGGAGCCCCGCGTCCCGGCGCCATCCCCGCGCTCTTCCTTCCCCCAGTGCCCAGCAGCAGTGCCCGCCCTCCGGCCGAGCCCCCACGGCTCCGCCGGCACCGCGCCGGCCCGGAGCGGGACGCGCCGTCCCCCGCAGCCCAGCCCGCGCCTCCTCCCCCGGGCGCGGGGCCCCTGTGCCCGAGTCGTGCCCGCGGGAGGGGGTGACAGCAACATCAGGTGCAGCCGGGGCCAGCGGCCAGGGCAAGCCCGGCCCCCGGCTGCCGCCTGCGCGCTGAGCGGCTGTGCCGGGCCCGCCCTCGGTAATTGGGAGGAGCCGGGAGAGCAGCGGGCTTCGCCGGGGATTTCCAGCCCGAGCGGGCGGGAGAGGAAGTGCGGGGCGGGGGGAGACGGCGCACAGCGGTCGGGACTTTCCGCCGGGCTGGCGGTCGCCTTCGCCCGGCTCCAGCTGCCGCCCGCCGCCCCGCTCCCCGCACACGCTCGCAGGTAGGGCGGCCGCGGGGCTCGGCTCGGCTCGGCTCGGCTGGGCGGCGGAGAAGGAGAAGGAGGGAGGGCGGGAGCTTCGCTGCCGCCGTGGCGGCGGCTCCCGCGCGGGGCTCCGGCACCGGCCGCGCTCGCCTGCCCGCGCTCGGGCGCTCCGGGCAGGGGGACGGGGCCGGGCGGGCGGCGGGAGCCGGGGGCGCTCCGGCGGGGGCACTGAGCGCTGACCGGGGCATCTGCTGCCAGGCAGGGGCCGAGCGCGCTGCACCCGCAGCCTGTGCCGGGACCTCGGCGGCGGCCGGTGCCCGGGGATAGATCAGCCTGCGGCGGAGCGGCGCGGACTCTCCTGCCCGGACGCACTCGCACTCCAGGGCTTTGCAGGTGCCCCTTTTCTCTTACTTATTCCTGCCTCCCCCTTCCCTCCCCTGCTCCTGTCGCTCTCTGCCCCGCTCCCCGCGGTGCGTGTGCCTGTGTGGGGAGCGGAGGGAGGCGAGGCCGGAGCGGAGCCGGGAGCCGCGGCGGCGCTTGCGGCGTTTGATGTGTCGTTTGAATGCAGAAGGCTCGCTCGCTCCTGGCTCCCTCCATATGCAGTGCTGGGGGCGGGCCGACGGCCTTTAAAGGGGCATTGCCGGCAGCGCCGCGCCTGGCGCGGAGCGCGGTCCCGGCTGCGCGTCCCCCCGGCTGCCGCTGCGGCGGAGCCCCCGCCGCTCCCCGGCCATGGGGCTGCGCCCGGAGCCGCCGGAGCTGCCCCTCGTCGGCGCTCCAGGAGTTGTATTTTCGCAAAGTCTGCCTGCCTGCACCGGCGCTGCGCTATCCCCGGCTGCCTGCCGCGAGCGGAAAGAAAAGTGTTTTGTTTTCACGCCATTCATTTCGTGCGCTGATTCGCGACGCCGCGTTTTAGCGCGTTGAATGAATCGCCGTGTTGTAGGTCCGAAAAAAATCATGAATGTTTAAAAGTTTATACTGAGTCATTCCTCTGCAGATTAACCTATGACTGACTCATAATCTGAGAACTGCAGTGGCTTGTAAAATAGGAAGGTAAGGCATTTATGTATTAATTTATTTGTGTCTTTTTGAGTGCCTGAGATCTGAATTACCAGTAGAAAAACAGGAGCAATTGTATTAATGTTAAGAGGCATAATCTCATGTTCTGCCGATCAGAGCTTGTGTGTGACGTGACAGACTGTATGTGCTCCTCCGCGTGGATCTTTACCACGCATTAGGGCATCTTTCATCTTTTGCTGTTTCTGTAGTAGTAAAATGTGGGAAGTTCCAGTGATACAATTTGAAATATGCTGTCTCTGGGTCTGTGACTGCTCTAGCTTGTGAAATCTGAGCCTTATGTACTTTATGTTGTAATTTACGTGTTTTCTATTTCTTGAGTAGAACGGTGTATTTTTCCTTGCAGATTTGTCCCATAGGATGCACGTAGCATTATTGAGCACTAATCTGGACTTGCATTCATAGACTGGAAAAGAGTTTAATGCATGATGTGAAGGTGTACTAGCAGCGTCTAGCTCAGACAAATGAAATAGTATAATTTGAAGTAGGTAATAGTAAAAATCTGCGTTTAAAATGGCTATTGACTTGCCTAGAAGCCTGTATTAAAAGGCTGCACTGATGGTTGTTCAGACCTGGAGAGACCATACCATGTACTGCATGTTGTCCTTTTAAAAGAGCCATTGGCTCATACCACGTATGGATTGAAATCTAAATACTATTTGTGGTGATTAGGGAGAGGGCTATTAATTTAAGGTGAGAAATACTTGAACATTTGGACGGAATCAGTTTTTTATGGCTGCACTGGGAAACCCCTTGTCATAGAGCTTGGTAACGGAAACACTGATGTATCATGAGCTTGGGCATTGCAGGCAGGCAGCACTTGGGGGTTTTAAAAGTTGGGTTGTTCCAGCGCGAGAATGGTAGGTGTTTTACTGAAATATGACTTGGTGAGTTGCTTCTAATAATAGCTGGACCTAGAGTATAGAATCATAAAGTGCATTCAGTATCAGTGCAAATTAATTCTAATCCAAAGGGGGTGCTAAATGACTCAGTCTTTAGGCTTTCCTGAACTCCTCCTGTAATTAAGTTTGATGATACCAATTTTGAGAAACCATTCTTGCATGGGTTCAGAGAATTTGAGTATCGTGTAAGCATATTTACTGTTGATGCATCAGTGACCCAAGATTATTTATGAAGTCTTACTAGTCCATGTTAACACAGTTTGTCTTTTAAATGATCTTGGGATCGTGTTGTATTTTAGGTCTTTACATTGTTCTTGTCCATAATGAATGCTTCAGGAGAGAAGAGGAATGGCTTCTTGGTACTAGAGTCCAGCTTTTCTTTAGTAGATATGGCAATGCTGAAAATACAAAAAGCCAAAAGCCTTGATTTTTGATTGGTAAGCAGCTGATCATAGTTCTTCTTCAGATGAAAAGGCAATTTAAAAATAAGAATGACTTAAATCTACTCCAGTACCCTAAACTGGCCTTGTGTGAATAGATATTGTAAAAATACAACATTCTCATCTCTTATCTCTTAGATGATGTAGTTACTGGATTTTATTAGTTTCTTTATAATGATAGTGTTTCTTAGTTGAAGGTGCTGCATCTTATGATGTGTGAAGATTGCTCATTAGACATTGGTTTCTGGTATCTGTATACTGGTGCACAGTTCCTTTAAAGAACTACCAAGGCTTGAGTTTGTGTGTGTTTGTTTGTTTTTTTTAAGCTGTGGAGACTTTCTGAATAGAATGCTTATATTTGAAACCTCCTTGATTTTTTGGTGTTTGGCTTACAAACGCCTGAAGTGGTTGGAGAAATTGGAGATTTCAAAATGAAATATGGGGAAAAGAAGCCGAGGGAAGGAGAGTTGTGTGGTTTTGTGCAGCAGAATAAAGGTGTGATTACAGCACAAGAGGGAGTGCTGTACTTGCACCAGGTTTTATCTTAAACTTTTTAACCTGTGGTGGTGAAATGGTGCTGTAGAAACTCCAGTAGTAAAGGGCTGGCAGAGAGAATATAACTGGTTTCCCATTCTGCCTGCTGGAATTCCATGCCCTCATAAATGGATAATTTAAGGTGAGTATATTTAGTTTTGACAAATCACAAATGTTTCAATTTTTTTCGGTCTTTTTTCTTATGGCAGGAGGAGGGACTAGAGAATTGGGAGAAAAAGGAATCATTAGGTGCCCACAGTGTAGGAAGATATGTTCTCTCTCTCTTTTTGTAAAGAGAAAGAAGAGAAAATGAAATAAATGCAAAAAAGCTCTCAGGATACCTAAAGGAAGTAAGGAAAGTATCCACTGGAAACATCTTAGAACTTAAGGAGAAAATGAAGCAAAAGGTGATTTGTTATTGAGAATTCCATATGTGAGTGGGAGAGGTATTTACATAGTCTTTGGAGGGGTGTTTGTTTTCTTCATGTAGATCTTCTCTTCTGGAGCCTTCAGGGAAAAATATCATTGCCACTGTGACTTCAAATTGCTACTGAGTGTTGGCTTTGTAACTGGGTTAACAGGGCGAGTGGCTCTAAAATTATATACAACAACTGTAGGTCAGTAATCCTCTCCACCCCCCAAAAAATGTTAAGCCTTTGATTTCCATGCTGTTGTTCTTCCCCGCTGGTTTGCTCTGCATGTATAAAATGTGATTTCAGTAGAATTTCAAGTTCTGCTGTTCATCCAGTCAAGGCAGCCTGGGAAGCAAAGTCTCAACATGTTTGTGTGTGCAGGAGTTCAGTATTGTGTGTGTGTGATGGATTCCATCCCCTGTTCGCTCCTTCTACTGAAATTTGGGGTGTTGTGTCCTTGGACATCAAGATTTGAATTTTTGCTGGTTGCAGGCATTAGAACCTCAGTGGGCATAGCAGGAATGCCTTAAGTTGGAATATTTCATAGTTCTGGTATTATTTTATATAGTTTCATACAATGTTGATTTGTAAAATAGTTTTCTTTGATGTGTAGAGGAAACATTCTGTAGATTATTTGCCATGATTGCTACTAATTCTGTAGTAATTTAAATGCTCTGAAGTGAATCTTTTCATGCACAAATAGTTAACGCTTTTCAAAAAATATTTGTGAAAGAAGTCATGAATCTTCCATTTTACATGTTTTAATGATGACTGTATGGTAGCTCGTAATTAGAAAAATTTAACATTTGGAGTAATACTGGACTTTTGTCTCATGTTTTGGTTTCTGCATTAATGTGGTAAACATATTTTTGTAGATAAGGTATGTACATGGAAGACAAGCTCAAAATGCCATGAGTCTTTACAGCTTTCTTAAGTGTCTAGGAAAACAAGTAATTTGGATTTCATCTGTCTTGAAAAGTGTGTTGTAGATGCTAGTGTAAGATAAGTGCCTTCCTGGCTGCCACTTTGTTCCTGCAAGCTTTGACATCTATCGAGAAAGAGAAGATGATCCTCTGCAGGTGCCAGTGTCAAACCAGGAGACCCGGAGGCTGGGCTTGGGCTTTCTGGCATTCCTGCAGATGTGTGTCCTAAGCCTTCCAGTCAGGGCCAGACCAGCAAGGGGCTTTGATGTTGAAGTGCTGAGTGATGTGACATCATGTCCTAGTCCCAGGGGCAGAAGGGGGATTCCAGTCCAAGTTTCCTACTTCCCTGGGGAGCATTCTCATCATCAAACCACAGGCCAGTTGAGAGTAGTGTCACTTCCTTCTCTTGAAGCTTTTTGCCATGCCAGGAAAAATCAAAACTCAGTGTGCCTAAGAAACAGAGTGAGAGGAAGCATGATGTCTCAGTCAAGTGGTTAGGACTTTTGTTAGGATTAGCAGGATGAGTAAAGACTTAGTCTGCTGATGCTTCATCCACTATTTTGTTTATTGTTTTCTCATGCATTTGAACTTGCTGCTCTTCCTGAGGTTATCAACCTTGTCAGGATGTTTTCTTAAGTGTGGAACATGTGCTGGGAAAGAAAAGAGAAACCTGGGTGTTGTGCAGGTTTAGGTGGTAGTTATTTTCAGAGCTGGGGTTCTCAAAATAGCTTTGCTGCAGCTAGTGGCTTGTTTTGTGTTTAGCTTCTTGCTCCATACACAGACCATTTTCCCAGTCTGTAATAACATGGGAATAGCGGTACTTTCCTATGATCTGAGGACATAAAAATGATGAGGTGCTGAGACCCAGCAGGGCAGTGCAAGCGTCATCTGTTGATAAAGTGAGTGAATTGCAAGTGCTGAGTGGAGGCATCCAGCCCTGGCTCTCTGCAGAGCTGTGCCATCCTGCACCGTCAGCATCGTGGCACAGGAAGCAGTTCTTGCTGTGCTCTTCCATTGATGCCCACAGCAAGCATGCGCTGCTCTCTGAGGCTGAGTGTACAGGACAGAATTTGTTCAGTGGTAGTTGTTCCCATGTTTGTACTTGTTTCTGGCTTTCTCCTTTGAATGTTCTAGAAAAATATCATTTTTTTTACTTATTTTATGGAGCCAGCTTGCATGGTACTTGTGCCACTTTGTAACAGCAAAGCTCAGCTCATAAACCAAATTTTAACAATGTGAATGGATTTTGTTTTGTAACCTCATCTCTGTATGTTCGAGAGAGAAAGAGATAATTAGAGCAATTATTAGAGGTTTTTATAATGAAGATCTTGTGTGCTGCACCAGATTGACTGTGCCCACTCTGTGTCTTTACACAGAGAGGAACCTTGTGAGAGTGGGTTGGTTGGTGTGTTGAGGCTTGTAAATTAATGACTCGCAGATGTAAGTCTTGATTTTTGCACAGGAAGTATAACTTCATAATTTTCATTTAACTTGTCCTTGTTTCAATCTCCTTCAAACCATCCCAAGTGACTCCTCTTCCTGCATTTAAGCTCTTCAGTTTCCAATGGATTGCTCTTGTCCATGCTGTGCTTCTCTTCCATCATGTTTTTCCAAACTGTATAAATGCTCCTAATTTCTCCAGCTGGTCCTTCTGATTCTTGGAAGTGACTTATTTTGACCTGCTTTCAATCAGATTTCTCGCAATTTTGGAGTTGCTAGTGGATGACTTTTATTCCAAGGTGGTTTTGTCCTTGCACTTGAGTA